AAGAGTGAGAGCATTGGAGGAAGACTAAAGACAGCAGCTTCAAGCCAAGCTCCAAATCGGGGGAACCAGTTCCTTCCACCCTCTCCCCCCTGCCATACACACATCATCATCATCATCATCATCTGTATCCCAGGGCTACGAAGGCACTGGAAAACTGCTTTTTTGGCAGATAATTTAGCAGATAGACACAGTGCTTCTGTCAGCTAACTCCTATATAAAATAAATAAAATTAAATAAATATTAGATCCACTCAGATTAGTTAGCATTAAAATTTTAATTTATATTCTTACTTTGTTACTAATTCTGGGGGGAGAGAGAGATCCTGTCAGGACTCCTGAACTCTCTTTCAGCTCTGGAAGAAGAGTGGGGTTTAGTGGGTTATATCAAGGGGGTAAATATATTTCAGCTCTATATAAGAAAATCAGAACGGCCATCTTGGGTCAGACCAAAGGTCCTTCTAGCCCTGTATCCTGTCTTCCAACAGTGGCCAATGCCACATGCTTCAGAAGGAATAAAGAGAAGAGGTGGTAATCATGATCCATCCCCTGTCGCCCATTTCTAGCTTCTGGGACACCAGAACAGATGCTAGGGACACCATCCCTGCCCATTGTGGCTAGTAGCCATTGATGGACCTATCCCCCTTGAACTTACTATGCTCTTATTGGAACTCTGTTACAGTTTGGGCATTTCCACCATCTCCTGGCAAAAAGTTTCACCAGTTGATTGTGAAAAAATAATTTATTTTGTTTGTTTTAAATCTGCTGCCTATAAATTTAATTGGGTCAGTTTCTTGTGTTATGTTAGTGAAGGAATAAATAACATTTCCTTATTCTATTTTTCCACAGCATTCATGGTTTTCTAGACCTGTAACATAGCTCCTAGCCCTTTAGTTATTTCTTTTCCAAGGTGAAAAGTTCCAGTCTTGTTGTACCTTTTCCAAATCCAATACATCTTTTTAGATGGGGTGACCAATATTCAAGATATGGACATAAAATGACTTTATATATGGGCAGTATGGTATTTTATCTTATCTGTTCCTTTCCAAAGGATTCCCAGTATTCTGTTCGCTTTTTGGTTTTTAGACTGCCACTGCACATTGAGCAGATGCTTTCAGGGAACTATCCACAAGGATTCCAAGATCTCTTTCTTGCATGGTAACAGCTATTTTAGACCCTGTCATTTTTCTATCTATAGTTAAGATTATATTTTCCCATGTGCATTACTTTGCTCTTGTCAACACTGAATTCCATCTGCCCTTGAGTTGCCCAGTCACTCAGTTTTGTGTGATCCCTTTGTAATTCTTTGCAGTCCGCTTTGGATTAGTCATTGTTTACCCCTTTTTCAAGAACATTTATGAGAAGTTTTATCAGCAGTGATCCAAATGCAAATCCCTGCAGCACAACAGTCATTCCTACACTTCCCCCCCTATTTTTAAGTGGAGTACTGGGCAATGTTTTCATGATGATCTGATGATCCTTTAATTGCCTGAATGCCCAACCTTTTGTTATTCTTAATCACCCTGCCCTCCCTCTTTTTATAACAAACTCCCTGCCCCAAAGGCAAAGCTGGAAGCAGCCCAGACTATTTACATTTAAGAAGTGCCTCTGCAGTCAGGGCATGCATCTTTAAGCAGACCTCAAGAATGAAATCCAGGGGTTCAGATTTGAACCCCCCATAAACGGCGCTCCTGGTCTGGGAGGGAGTTGGGACCTGGAGAAGGTGGGGAGAATACAGAGGGTTTGGGGTGGCCCAGGGCAGGTAGTTGGTGGGAGAGAGGGAGTGGGGTGCCAGAGGCAGGCTCTGGCTGGGAGGCGCTTACCTAGGGCTCCCAGCCAGCAGCTCTGCAGACTCCCTGCCTGTGGGCTGCTCCACCTGGCTCTGTTCCAGCACAAGGGAGGGAGGAGGCTTCATTCACTGCCCCTGCCTTCAGCAAAATTTCTCAGTTCCTAGGCCGGAAGCAGGCCAATAGGAGCTTGGGGATTTAGCTAGGAGGTGGGGACAGCATGTGAAGCTTTCTCCTCCTTGCCCAGCTTGCTGAGCAATTAGCAGCCTGCTGTTTAAAGCAGCTGCCCCTGCCATGTTGTAAGGGTGTTGGCAAAGCAGCCACAGGCCACATCTGGTGGGTAGGTGGGCCGGATGTGGTCCACTTGCTGCCTCTTGCCCACCCTGATTAGGTAATGTCTACACTGTAGCATCAGAGCTTCAGCACACAGACATAGCCTTAACTCCACATAGAAATAGAAATACTAGACTGTCTCAAAAGCCTATATGTGTGTGTTGTGAGGCACAGAACCAATTCACTGAGAGAGCCAGCCCCAAGTTCCTAACCAAAAATATTCAGTTAACTTTACAACAGAAAACGTCCCTATGGTACTTCCGCACCCAGGACAATGAGGCCCTGGTCCGAGAGCACTCTGAATGTTACTTCCAGTGTAAACCAAAGATAATCAGAAATAGTCTTGTCACTTAGCTGGACCTTATGAGATTTTCCCCATCCCAAAAGCAGATTCCTTGTTGCTAAAGCCCATTTACTATTTTTTTATAATAATTATAATTTGTGATTTAATTGGGAGAAATAGTCACATAGGAGGGGGCAATGTTTTGAACTGGAGAGTTTGGATCTGGATTCAATTTTATCTAAAGTTTGGCGATGTCTGTAACCAGGGTTCCATCTAGGTCACTCCCTAAGCAAAACTTTTTTGGGGGGTGGGGGGAGAAGGTCAGGTTCCAGAAATGGGATTCTTTTTTTTTTTTTTTTTAGTTTTTCTTAATTATTTTTGCTCATTGTCTTTTCTATTTAGCTTTGAATGTCACCTGCAAAATAGGCCTGGGAGGAATGCTTTTGTATCCTTTTTTGCTGTTTTATGAAATATTTAAGACCTGAATTTTTTAACCAAAAGCTTTTTAAATAAAATATATGAACAAAACAACCAAATTTTAAACAAGTGTAACCAGCAAAAAAAGAATTCCTGCAATCATATACTAAGACTTCAGTCTCTTGTGGTGTCATGAGCCTACCAGATATACAGTAGTCTGTGCTGTGCAAAATGTGTGCCATTTCCCTCTCAGTGTAAGTGTTCTCCTTCAAAAGTAAATATAGTAACCCTGAAAGGTGCTGGATTGCAAACCCCAAAGAATGAATTCTCCTAGTATGGGATAGGTAGCAGCTTCAGGCTTATTTTGATTGTACCTTTGCCTTTTTGGACTCCCATTTTTATAGAGATGCCTGTACAGTTGAAACTAGATGAAGACATCTAGCTCATCTGAACAGTCAAATGCTAAACTGCCCAACTACTGACTTGGATTGTGCCTGAAATGATATGGTCAAATTACTAGTCCCTAGACCTGCCCATTTATTCATGTTTCTTCTTCTCAAAGCCTGTGATGGGAGGAAAATGGAAGCACTGGTTCTGAATCTTACTGTAATGCTAGAATTTAACAGGGGATGTAAGGGTATTATAGAAAACAATTCAGTGTGTGTTCAGAAACAATTTAGATACAATCCATCTTGCATTTTAAGAAATAGTTCTATATTCTAGTTAATGTCATTGGGTTGTTTTAAACACTCACTTTTGCTTTTATTCATGCAGCACTTTTTCCTGGTAACTTAACTGTACTTTTAGAGGCAACTTTTTTTGTCACTGGTTTGAAGGGACAGAAGTTCTAGAAACCATTTAGGTTAAATTCAGCTCTTGTGTCCAAACCAATCACATTCACTTTTGGGGAATTCTGAAAATCCTCTTTTTATACGAGTCTATATAACCTAGTTCTTAAATAAATTTACAACAGAGCTTTGGAACTCATGTTCTTCATGTTTGTGCATCTAAGATCAGATGTCTTTTCTATGTAGAGCGTTTACATATTAGGGATGTGAAAACTTAACCAGTTAACAGGTAAGTATCACCCTTACCTGGTGATGCTTACTGGCTCTGGTTAACCAGTGGGTGCTGAAGCAGCTCCCCACATGCTGTGTGTGGGCAGGGGGCTGTTCCAGCTCCGCAGGGCCTGGTCAGATATGAGCTGCTCTGGCCAGGCTGAAGCAGGGAGGCTGTTCCAGCCTGGCCATGACGGCCCATTGGCTACTCCTTTAACCTGTTAACCAATGAAATGGGATTTGTACATCCCTATTACACATGTACACACTCTTGTATGAAGAACAGCTTGCTGTGTAATGTGAGATTTGTTGGTAACTGTAAGTGCCATATGAGTCTGGCATTTTCTCAGATAATTGCTAACATGATTTTTTTTTTTATTTAGGCACATGAAAGAAATTGCTGAACTGCAGAGTCAACAGAAGAATGAAATAGAGGCTTTGTACATCCGTCTGGGCAAACCACTGCCTCCCAACGTGGGTTTTCTTCACTCTGCCCCACCAAGTGGCCGACGGCGGAGAACCAGCAAAAATAAATTAAAAACTGGGAAACTATTGAATCCTCTGGTTCACCAGCTCAAAACGGGACCTTCTAACACAAGTAGGTCCCACTGATTTTAAAACCTTGTATCCCATTAAATATAAAGTATCAGAGGGGTAGCCGTGTTAGTCTGAATCTGCAAAAGCGGCGAGGAGTCCTGTGGCACCCTATAGACTAACTGAAGTGTTGGAGCATAAGCTTTCGTGGGCAAAGACCGACTTTGTCAGATTCATGTAAATATAAAGAGTGCCCTTATTTTTTTATTTTCTGCCCCTGACTTTCTAGGTAGGTATACAGAATTCAAGTGAAGACAGTGAAAGGTTAAATAATAATTTTATTACTGTAACTGAAACTTTCATACTGTAGACGACTTTTAAGAGATCTTTCCATGATCTCCTCCTATTGAAGCTGCCCAGTACTGATGTCATGGCTTCCCAGCATTAGTTGTAGTATGTAGTTACATGAAAAGATAATATTCCGCCAACAATAAAATAAGATGAAAACAAAATAACTATAATGGGTGATACTCTCAGAAGGATTCCAAAAAAAGCATTGTACATTTATATGGATAAAAATCCCACCCAGCATTAAAGTTGGAAAGGTTGAAAACAAACAAAAAAAATATGCAAGAGGTTTAGAGGGGATACCAGCCCTCATGCTTCTGGGCATAAGCTAACCTCTGACTAAGGTTTGGGAAAAAATGGGTTTCCCTATTCATCAGCTGTTCCATACCACCTAGTGGAGATTTCATGTTTGGAAGCAGTTAGTATTCTGTGTGTAGGTATCAAGCACACTGTCAGTGCTTGACAAATAAAATGTCACAATTTAGTTTAGTTTAGAATAGAATTTCCATCCATTTAAGCTTTCCCATCTTTCTCCCTAAGGTAATTTATTCGTGTTTGTATTCACTGAAGATACTGTTATTCTGCATTAAGTGTATGGCATCTCGTGATCTTTCTTTTCTAAAAGATGCTCTATAAGATTGGATTGGACTTGCCAAAGAACAATGTAAAGCAGTGATTGATGCCTTCTACTTCAGAAAGGCATTGAGAGGTTTTCCAATACTTGCTAATATGAATGTGAAATCTGTGGTCAGGACTGCAAGACCAACAGTAGTAGGTGTTTGACATTATCTGTTTGGAAAAGTAATGAAATAGTAACTGAGTAAGGAAGCTTAGATAGTCATTACAGACTAGTTCTACCTCTCTTGGGGATTACTTCAGATTCTATGTCTTCTTTCCATTGACTGCAGTTCTGTACCAGTGTGAATCACATTGTCAGTTTTAATTACTCTGGAGGTTTTTTGTAAAAGGAAAAAAGAAAAGATAGCAGAAACAAGGACATTTGGAGTTAAGACTGACATGCCATGATCCACTTTGTGTCAGTCAGTGTCTCTGGCAAATTCCTCTTTTGTTTTAAACCTTCCCAGTCTAGCAACTTTTTGCTTATTTCTGCTGGATGCCTTACCTCCTCCACTCTTCTGATATGGAGTTCCCTGTGATGATATCTAACCCTCGTGTCCATCTGTTTTTAGCGTGTGGGCAGTGGCTGGGTGCGTTCTACCCTTTCCTTCCCTTCTGTGCCAACAACACCCCTCTCTGTCTTAGACCACTCTGACCTCTCTCTTTGACTTGGCTCACATCAGCATACCACCTCACTCGCTCCCTGAATGTTTCAGAAAGTCAGAGCTTGTTCCTGACTAGAATTCTGACTCCACTGTTGCTCATCTTTAAGTTGTTTGTCTTTTTCCCTCATGCATCTTCTTTATCTGTGGACATTTTCCCTTTCCCTGCTAACCTGTAGGTCCCGTCTTTCAACAAATCTTTTATTCCTGCCTTAATCTCTCTCTCTCTCTCTCTCTCTCATGACTATTGAAATTGCTTTAGCTTTGGCCTTCTTAAATCCTTTTGCAGCTTCAGGAGGTCTCTACCGTTATTACTGACATACTCTCATTGTATCTCTTCCCAGCCTCAGGCACTTCTGCTAGTTTCCATTCCATCTCCCAAGTGAATTTAAAAGTCCTTCTACTTTTAAACCTGGTATTTTACCCAGTTCTGACTTTCTGTCCATCTCCCTTTGCTTCACACTCACGCATTCTCCAGTTTTGTCCACTCCCTTTCACATGAGTATAGGGTCTCTCAAATCCTGCACCATTTTTTTTCTGTCGTCTTCCATCTTCTATCAAGGCCATTTTGCAAATCTGACCTTTTAAAACAATCCTTTTCTTGAGTTCACATCTTGGTCTCTGAAAAGTGCACTAAGAACATTGCATCAAAATTACGTATATTGAATGGGATGGCTTTTCATCTTGCAGATTCTGGGCATGTAGGGGGGACATGTAAATTCTTTTCAGATGCAGTTTTACCCATGAAAGTGCATATGTTTCTACTAGTTCTTTGGAATGTTTCATTGCTGCTCCTCTCAGTAGCAAAAAGAATGGTTACTTACCTGTAACTGTTGTTCTTCGAGATGTGTTGCTCATGGCCATTCGAATTAAGCGTGTGCACTGTCTCTTCCGGAGCGTTTTCCCTAGCAGTACCCATAGCGCTGGCAGGGCGCCCCCTGGAGTGGCGCCGCCATGGTGGGGCATAAGTACCCCTGCCGGCGCTGCCCCACCTCAGTTCCTTCTTGCCAGACACTCCTCTTGCCGGACACTCCGACGAAGGGAAAGGAGGGGGGGGAGTCGAATGGACATGAGCAACACATCTCGAAGAACAACAGTTACAGGTAAGTTACTGTTCTTTTCTTCTTCGAGTGGTTGCTCATGTGCATTCGAATTAGGTGACTTCCAAGCTAACCCCACTTCAAGGAGGAGGGGTCGGAGCAGTCAGAAGTCCACAAAAAATTTGAACAACCCAAACAAATTTATTCAACCAAGCAAACACAGAAAAAATTGTATAAAGTGCAATGTGACACTGATAAACCAAACATATTTACAATACAGAGCCGAGGACTGCAGAGCCCACCCCTGCGTCCTCCCTGACCTGTTGCGCTAGCACATAGTGCGCCGTAAAGGTATGGAGTGACGACCTTGTGGCCGCCCTGCAAATTTCAGTGATTGGAACCTGTGCCCCAAAAGCTACAGAGGACGCCTGTGCCCTGGTGGAGTGTGCTGTAACCCGGGGCGGGACCTTCCTGGCCAGGGCGTAACACTCCCTGATGCACCCTGCGACCCAGTTGGACAACCCCTGGGTTGAAATGGGGAGCCCTTTCACCCTGTCCACAACAGCAATAAACAGCTGCTGAGACCTGCGAAAGGGTTTGGTCCTATCAATATAAAAGGCTAGTGCATGCCTAGCATCCAGGGAATGGAGCACCTGCTCCTTGGGGGATGAGTGGGGTTATGGAAAGAAAACCGGGAGGTAGATTTCTTGAGACAAATGGAACGGTGACAACACCTTGGGGAGAAAAGCCGGATGGGGGCGGAGCCTCATGTTGTTGTCAGAAAACACCAGGTAGGGCGGATTTATAGTTAAAGCCCTCAATTCGGAAACTCTGCGAGCCGACGTAATGGCCACAATGAATGCAACCTTCCAGGAGAGGTGCTTCAAAGAACACGTAGCCAGCGGCTCAAAGGGGGGTGACATAAGTCTAAACAACACGAGGTTGAGGTCCCAAGCGGGGAGAGGGGGTCTAACCGAGGGATTCAATTTATCCAAACCCGTAAGGAACCTTTTGACCACAGGGTCAGAGAACAGAGAAACTCTTGCCGAACCAACATGGAAGGCAGAGAGAGATGCCACATGGACTTTGATAGAGGAGATAGAGAGGCCACTAGATCTAAGTTCAAAAAGATATTCCAGAATGGACGGGACAGGGGCACAGGACAGGTGCACTCCCCTTCGGGACGCCCAAGACAAGAAGCGCCGCCACTTGGCAGCGTACGACCGTCTGGTAGAAGGTTTCCTACTACTTAGGAGCATCATCTGTACCTCTTGGGAACATTCCCTTTCTGGTTGGTTCAACCATGGATAAACCAGGCCATTAGGTGTAGAGCCTTGAGATTTGGGTGAACCATGATCACCCTGTCCCACGGTTAGGTCAGGAGATCCCGGGCTGGTGGGAGCGTTATAGGCTCCTTGGTGGACATGTCCACCCGTATGGGGAACCAGAATTGTCTGGGCCACCTGGGGGCTATCAGGTTTTGACCCTGGTCAGAACCCTGGGAATTAGGAGGAATGGGGGGAAAGGATGCCCGCCGGCCACATAAACATCATGGCATCCCCCCAGGAGTGTTCCCCCAGCCCCAACAGGGAGCAGTAACTCTGACACTTGGTATTGTGTGCCAAGGCAAACAGGTCTAGTAGGGGATAGCCCCACCTGCGGAAGATCTGACTAAGGGCCAAGTCCTTGAGAGACCACTCGTGGGCTCCGAAGGACCTGCTCAGAGCATCGGCTAGCAAATTTTTGCACCCCGGCAGGTAGTCTGCCTGCAAAGCTATGTTGTGCTGAACGCACAGCTCTCAGAGGCTCAGGGCCTCGCGGCAGAGGGGAGGCAACCGGGCACCCCCCTGCCTGTTGATGTAAAATACAGCTGCCGTGTTGTTCAGGCAGACTAGAACAGAGCGGTGAGAGAGCTTCAACAGGAAGGTCTCGCACGCTGTCCTGACCGCCCTGAGCTCCTGTACATTTATGTGCAGAGCGCGCTCCATCATTTATGTATAGAGCGCGCTCTGCAGAGTACCACAGGCCCTGGGTCCTGCGGCACCCCAGGTGTGCGCCCCAACCCAGGTCCGAGGCATCTGTGACCAGAGTGAGCGAGGGGGGAGGTACAGAGAAGAGGACCCCGCTGCACACCACAGACTCCTGAGTCCACCATTGCAGCGAAACTATTACCTCTGGGGGCACCGTAAGAACCGTGTCCCAGAGGCCCCTGGATTGGTTGAATGCCATTGCCAGCCAAGCCTGTAGAGGTCTGAGCCTCATCCGAGCATGGCGGACCATGTACGTACACGCCGCCATGTTCCCCAGCAACCTCGAGCAGACCCTGGCGGTCGTGATGGGGACCGAGTTAATTTGGAGACCAGCTCCACTATGGCCAGGAACCTGGCCCTGGGGAGAAGCGCTTCGCCAACCTGGTGCCCTTGCCAACCTGGCGTCCAGGAGGGCACCCACGAATTCGAGGCACTGAGAGGGGGTCAACAATGACATTTCCTCGTTCAGCATGAGTCCCAGCCTTACGAAGAGGGTCCTTGTGAGGGACACGTGGGCCTCTATTTGTTCATAGGAACAACCACGAATTAGCCAGTTGTCCAGGTACAGGAATACATGTACCCCTGATCTGCGGAGGAACACCGCCACGACTGCCATGCATTTTGTAAAAACCCTGGGTGCTGTAGAAAGGCCAAATGGGAGCACAGTAAAATGAAAGTGGTACCGGGACACAATAAAACGGAGAAACCTCCTGTGGCTGGGTCTTATCGCCACATGGAAGTAAGCATCCCTGAGATCAAGAGTGGCGTACCAGTCTCCTAACTGTAGAACTGGAATGACAGAAGCCAGGGTTACCATTCTGAATTTGGATTTCATGACCGCCTTGTGAGAAATGTCCCTGAAAAGGGACGGAGAAGGAGAGTTGGAAGGGGGCGAGCCCAGAAAGGAGATGGTATAGCCACTCTTGACTATGTTTAAGACCCAGGCGTCGTTTGTGATTTTTGCCCAGGCTTGAGCAAACTGGGATAACCTGGCCCCAAACGGGGGGCCAGGGTGGGAGGCTGGTGCGTGATTCTCTGGGAGCCTGTCAAAATTGTTGTTTGTGCTGTTGGGAGGGACCTTGACCAACCCCACCGGAAGCACGAGGACGGCGTCTCCAGTATTCCCCACGGGGGATCTGGGACTGCAGTCTCCCCTGCTGTCTGTAGGGCAGCTGGCGATGCTGAGGAGCCGGTGTGTGGATCCCCAAGGACCGAAGGGTAGACCTCGTGTCCTTGAGCGTATGGAGCTTCAAGTCCGTATGCTCCGAGAATAACGCCTTGCCGTCGAAAGGCAGATCTTGGATAGTAGACTGGACATCAGGAGGTATTCCAGAGACTTGCAGCCAGGCACCACGGCACATGACCACACCTGCCCCCAGGGTGCGGGCTGCAGAGTCGACCGTGTCCAGGGAAGCCTGGAGGGCTGTACGGGCGATGGCCGTACCCTCAGAGGTCATGGCCGCAAACTCCTGACGGGACTCGGCAGGGAGCTTATCCTTGAACTTATCCATGGCCTGCCAGGTATTAAAAGCATAACGACTTAGCACCACTTGCTGATTAGCTATGCGGAGTTGCACCCCACCAGTGGCGTAAACTTTCCGGCCCATTAAGTCAAAGCGTTTGGGTTCCCTAGCTTTTGGGGATGGCCCTGGCTGGGGGAGCTTTTCCCTCTGGGCTGCTGCCTGGATGACCAAGGACCCAGGGACAGGCAGGGAGTACAAGTGCTCGTGCCTCAACTGGGGAACATAGTAGCACCTCTCAACACCCTTTAAGGAAGGGGTCAGGGTCGCCAGTGTTTGCCACAGGGCATTGGTAATTTTTGCCACCGTTTTATTAAGTGGCAAAGCCAAATGGGTGGGCGCGTCATCTGAAAGAATATCAATCATCGGGTCTGTGTCCTGCACTACGGGCTCCACTGGGACACCCAGATTGGAAGCCAGATGCCGGAGCAGCTCCTGATGCACTCAGGCATCTATAGTAGGCAGGGCTGGTGCAGGATCCGCCAGGGCTTCGTCAGCAGATGATGATGACAACGACTCCTGTATCGGTGCCGGATCTACCGCAGGAGCCGCGTGCGGTACCGGTTGGACATAGGGCACCGCCTGCGGGCATGTTTCCGGCACCGAGGCCTGTGCTTGTGCTGCAAGGTCCGACCTAGGCAGCCTCTAGGGGGAAGGAGGAGGTCGCGACAACGACGCCGATGGTTGCGTTCGGCGACCCGAAGCATCCGACACCACAGAGGGGGGCACGGGCACTTGCCACTAAACCTGGCCATGGACTCGGGCTTGCCAGCATGTACACGGCAGGGACGTTCGGCGACCCGAAGCATCCGACACCACAGAGGGGGGCACGGGCACTTGCCACTAGTGGTAAGCCCACGGTGTCCAGAAAGGCCACTGTGGATGAGGTGGCCAAGGCTGCTGCACCTGTGAATGGTCACGTCGATGCCGGGAACAGGATCTATGGGCCAAAGAGGCTCCCAAAGACCCCGACCTGAGGGATGTTGCATTGGAATCCGACGAATAATCGGACTCTGGCCAGGGAGGTGCCAATGAGGAGTGGCCTGAAACCAACGGAGGGGCAAACCTGGCCATGGACTCGGGCTTGCCAGCATGTACACGGCAGGGAAGTGCCGGTGCCGGTGGCTGTTGCGGCACCGGGAGAACAGTAGGCTGTTGCAGCACCGAGGGAGCCGAATCATGCAGCGGTACCAGGGGAACCGATGGCTGTTGTGGCACTGGGGGACCCAGGCCCAGTGCCCGAAGTGGTGTTGGTGCCGAAAGAGGTGCCGGGAGGCCCAGTCACGGTGTCGGTTGCATCTCCGGCACAAAGCATGACGGTGCCAAGACAAACCCTAAGGAGGACGACATCACCGTCAGCTGGGGCACCGGCAAGGTCCACATGGTTGGTGCCGGTGCCGACCCTTCCGCCTCAACCGATGATGGAGGGGAGGTGGTGAGACTGATGAGGACGTGCACCGCCTCAAAGGTGTCCGGCGTGGATGGGCGGTGCGGGGGCAATTGCCCTGGGTTAGAGGGGTGTTCTGCTCGCTTACGCCGTACCACAGAGGATGTGTGCACCAGTGAGTCGGCACCACGGTGCAGGGCCGGCATGATCTTCTGAGACGGGGACCTCCCGCGAGACTTTCTCACCCTCTTCGATGCCAGATGCCGAGGCCCAGGCCCAAGGCAGGGCATCCCGCGTGGACGCCGGTGCACTGTGCACCGCAGGGTGGCCAGTCGGTGCCGGCTGTAAAGCCGTCTCCATGAGGAGAAGTTTTAGGCGAGAGACTCTCTCCCTTTTAGTGCATGGCTTGAAAGACTTACAGATCTTACAGGCGTCTGTGAGGTGGCTCTCACTCAGACACTTCAGACAGCTGTTGTGTGGGTCTCCTTTGGGCATGAACTTTGCACAGACAGCGCACGCCTTGAAGCCTTGCGGCCCTGGCATTCCTCACCCCTGAAGGGGGAGGAAGAACAAAGAATGAAGTAGACACTAACTGCCTAACTAATTGAACTATTTACAATGCTAAGAGAAACGGGAACCATTAACTAAGCTGAGAGAGAGACACGCTCCAACGACCGTCAGGGGCGGTAAGAAGGATCTGAGGTAGGGCAGCGCTGGCAGGGGTACTTATGCCCCGCCATGGCGGCGCCACTCCAGGGGGCGCCCTGCCAGCGTACCGCCAGGGAAAACGCTCCGGAAGACATGGTGCATGCAGTGCGCACACCTAATTCGAATGGACACGAGCAACCACTTGAAGAAGAACTACCAGTTATGCTGAGGTTGATTTTTCTGTAGTAGTTTCTTTAATTGTGGCATTTGCAATTTTGTTTGTTTTTTAGGTAATCTGTCAGACTGCAAAGAATCTTCCCCCAGTCAAACAACTAACGTTCTTGCTGGTTCAACTGAAGCAGCAGCAGTAACTTCCTCCACTTCAGCCACATTTGGAAAGTCAGTTCAGACACAGCAACCCTGCTCAGTCAAAGCCTCTTTGTCTTCTGACATCTGCTCCGGCTTAGCCACCGAAGGAGGCAATGCGCATGGAAGTTCTGGCCAAGGTGATTTTATGTACCTACAGTTCAGCATGTCTTTCAGCAGATGCCAAAATTAGTACATATCACTTAAAACTTAAATGATTTAGGAGGAGCTTTACTAACAATGTAGGCATGCAAGGCTTATAAATGCAAGTTCCTGACTTACCGTTAAAAAAGTAGGCATAGCATAAAGTTAGGTGAGCAAAAATAATCCAAAGCATAAAATGAATTCAACTACAAGAGCGTCCCTTGTCCTTAGGGAAGAATATGCCTTTTATAAACAGTGACTTACACAGATTTAACCTTTTGTGAAATCTGAAAAAAATGCCATAGTAGGTAGAAGATTAACTCTGTTTCCCCTAATTCATACTATTTTCTTTTAACCCCTTGATACTGGTGGCCCTAAAGCTCCCCATTATAAAGTACGAATTCATCTGGGTCAACAAAAAAAATAATTAAGTGGGGAAAGCTAAGCCACCAGCATTAGAGGAGTTAATTCCTGCATGATTTTAACATCATGTCTAAGGTATAGAGGTGTAATTCGAGTCTGCATAGTCCAATCCTGAGTTCCGACAGCTCTTTAGCAGTGCACAGCTCCCTAGACTTTGACTGAACTTGTTGCCATATGTATTGAAAATTATAATGATGATTAAAATACCTTGCTCAACATTGCAAATCCTGCCAAACTAATCAACAGAATATCTGTTCTCTTCTGCTGTTATTGCATCCTTTGGTATATGGTCATATAACTTACTCCTCCTGGACAAGGCTAAAATGGAGATATGGATGATTAACTAACAAAGCTGATTTGACTGATGGTATAGGACATCTGATCACAGTTATTTGTACTTTATAAGTGTCTTTGTTTTCTTCCCTTTATATTCATTTGCAGGCTGGACGGTTTTCCACCAAACGTCTGAGAGAGTGACCTATAAATCTAGTAGCAAACCTCGTACCAGATTCCTCAGTGGACCTGTGTCTTTGTCCATCTGTTTGTATTTGTTCTTTTGTATTTTATCACAACCCATCTTTCTTTTGTCCCCCTTTTTCCAAACTCATCCTTTATATCTCTAATATGTTTGGCAGGGTGCCCTTCCTTCTACACCATCTTTTCTTTCTTTCATTTAAGTAATCATCATTGGCACTCCTTAGTTTATTTTCATTTTTCACATGAAGGCTTTTGTGCACTGCTTTTGGCTCATGCCTGGGTACCAAGAGCATGTGTGGAAGATCTCATCATTTCTTATATAGCCTTATGGTAAATTTTACCCTGGGCATATCAAAGCTTTTGTCCTTTATGTGATTTATGTTGAAGTAATATTTTTATTTGCAATGTGGCAAATATACACGTCTGCTGTCCCAGTTCCAGCGACAACAAAAAGAAATCCAACCTTCTGTAGACGAATGGTCTCTTTCACACATGTTTGGACTACGAAGACATGCATGTAGCAAGCTGATACAATACTAGAAGGTCACTGAAGGGTATAACTTCCATACAAGGGCTGTATTAAAACAACATACAGTACTGTTTATATCCACTTTTTTTCTCCTGCTCCTTGCATGTGGAAATGCTGAGATGACAGTGCTCCAGCTAGTTCTTTCGAAGTCTGTTTTCTAGGTGGTGTGTTCTTCCACAGTAAGAGCTTTTAATTAGTGTAAGTGAGCTCTTGTTGTTATAATTATTAGTAGTGGAAAGATCTGATTACTTCAAAGAAGAGTTCCCTTCATTTACCTTTTCGAATAAGCTAACCTGGCTGGAGCACTTTACTCAGTTTATTTTCTTCTGACCTTATATGATCCCAGAGATGAAGTCAATTAGCAGTTCATCAAAGCACCAATAAGTAAAAAGCATTATCAGACTTCCTTATGATACTTTGAAATGGATTATCAAGATCCAGCACTTTTTTTATTTCAAATAACTGTGCACCAGCTCAAATGAACCACGTATCTTATTTCCATGGTCTCTAAAGTAATTGGCAGTTCAGCAAAACTTAATAATACTTTTTAATTGTAAAATACAATTTTTTCCACCAAACAAATATGCTGCTTTTTGGACAGACAGATTTTGCTTGTACAATAAAGATATGTTGTACTGATCAGGTACTATAGGCCACTTAACATATAACGTTCATAAGGCTAACGTTGAAGAACTATTCAGTCAACTCAGTGTTCATTTGCATTGATACCGAACTTTCCCCATTGTAGTTATACATTGCTCATCATTATCCAGGTGATGCAGATCAAAGGCACAAGACCACTCCAATATGTTTTTCCAGTTTTCTAAATAAACAGTATTTTTAAAAAAAAAAATACTGATTTTTTTTTTCATTTATTTTAAGATCCCCAGAACTCCACTCATCTAAATTGGTTAAAAGTGATGTTTAACTCTCAGCCTGTGGTATGCAAGGTTTTAACAGTCATTCAAGTTTCAAGAGACTCTGCATATAGGAACTTATCCAAAGAACCTGAGGAATTCTTATTAACCCAATTTTTCCATCAGTCAGTAGCATTATGGTCATAGCTATAGCCTTATCTGCACAAGTAATTCCCAGAAAGGGTTTAATTCCTCTATCACAGGTTTACTATTCAATGCTGCAAAAATAGAGGGGAGAATTTTTGTCTAAAACAAAAAACATTTTGGTCTGTGGCAGTCATGGCTTAATAGAACACGTCAGTACTTAGTTACTTTAAGTTTCCCAGTGCTTAAATAAATGAATTGTATGGTGGATGAACTTTCTGTCACTCAGCCCACATGGTCTTCTCTGTGTGTCTTTTGAGTGAAGTGTTTTGAGACAACAATTGTACTGCCCCATCTGTGAGAGCTAAGTTCTAAACACCTTAGCACAAACACATCCATCCAGAACCATGCCAGTTCAGAAACCAGACCTTTCATTTTTAAATTTTAGAAATTACCTATCTCTTGAGCTGCTCCATGGACTCCCACAATTGAAGCTGTCGGACTTTCTGCTGCCCTGAATGTTTCAGTTTCTTTTCTTTTGAGCTGTTCTCCTGCTGGGTCTAGCAGGTCAATAGCAGAAAACCATGTTGTTGTAATGGGTACGTCTAGACTGCAGGGGTTTTCTGGGATACTGGAGGTATTCCAGAAAAACTCCACCGCATCCAGGGAATGCTTTTGCTCTTCTGCTTTTTTTTTGCAGAAGAGCAAACGTAAACCCTGTATACCTCTTTCTACGAGGAATAAAGGTTCCTCCAAAAGAGGAGGCTTTTCTGTCATTTGGCCCCATTTGGTGGGATAAAGGGCACTCTAGATGGGGCCAAATGGCAGAAAAACCTCTTCTGGAAAAGCAATCGGAAAAAGCTACGCAAATTGTGGGGCGCAATTGTGTAGCTTTTTCCGAATAAAAGGCTATAGTGTAGACTAGCCATAGTGTGAGAACAATTTGGATCTAGTCCTGAACTGCCCCTAAGGCCAGCAGGAGGAGAGATTGTTGTGCACTCAATCCAGGAGAGGAAAGGCCATTTTGCTACTGGATCCATCTAACTGGAGTAGCATCTAGTCCTTATGCCCATGACCATAGGTGTATGTAGCATTTGTAGGAACCAAGGTTTTGAGATACACAGTGAATGCACATTGGATAAGAGATCAGAATCTGGCCCTTTGAGTGGAAGCAGTTGGAAGCTTTTATTGGAAGTCTTAAATTTCAAACTTCATCTTTTAAACAATATCACCTCAAGCCAGAATTCCATTGATAAGCAGAAGCAATCTTCAGTGGAAATCTATAATCCCTTTAATCAATTTCCTAGTATACCTTTTGGTTTTAGCGCTTACTGTCAAGAATAGACATATATGTCAGGAAACTACTGAGAGTACTCTGACATATTTAACTCTTAAACATTTTTTCTCCAGATTAGAAATTGGCACATTGCCTGCTAATACTGAAGTATGAAACAGTTGTAATATTCCCACTCATCATTCATAATTGCTAAATAATTAGGTAACATGGGTGATCTATGCATAAGAAAAGATGTATTTCAGGTGGTGAAAGCAGTTCAGTTAAGGATTAGAAAGGATTCTGCTTAGCTAATGTGTACTTCATAAAAAGACTAATGTTAAATGAGTTCATGCTTTGTGGTTTATTAAACCATTTCTCTGTCATTGCCAGTATATAGCATTACTTAATCACAAGGCACCAAATTGTTTATACTAAAAATAGCATTATTTAAAATCTTGTCATAATCAAAACTCTTAAAATTGTCTGCTGGAGTGGGCCAAAATAAAGTAACCACATAAGGTTAAAAGGAATTTCCATCTCATTTCACCAGCACAGTTAATTGAAAGTCCTCTTCTACAAGTCCCTGAGTGCTTGTGCACAGTACTGAACACTCACAAGCCTGCCCTTCCACTGTCTTAAGAGTGAGGTGCGCTGAACACTTTGCAAGGTCACATCAGCTGAGTGTATTTATAATAAAAATATTAGGCAGGTTGGGAGATCAGTGAAGTGAATATTAACATTTCTCATCTGAAATTAATGTGTAGCCACATTAAAATACCAAGTAGCATCAGATACAATATAATATGATGAATTATGATGTCTCTTCAGATGATACTTCAACACATTTTTTATGAACCTCCCACAAAATTGACAAACTTTCCTCAAGGATGTAGGAGTTCAGGCCTCACCTACCAAGGAAAGGCACACTTACATTTGTTTTTTACTCACTGTAGGAACCCATGTGGGAACTGTTTAATTTCCGTTTGAGTGATTTATTTCAACTTAGCTTATATCTTTTCCCGAGTCAATTTAAGATAAGAGCAGAAAAGGGCACTTTTTACTGACATTTCCAGCCAGGGGTTTGAAGAGATTTGATTACACTGGTTTAAAGTAACCCCCTTCCCTCAGTGCAACTTGCTTCTATCAACAAGCCCTTCTGCCTGGGCTTGTTCTGTGGTTTCAGTTAGCTGAGCATTCGTCAGTGCTTCACTGCTATGTCCATGCTAAGAGTTGTTGCTACTTATGCTTTAGATCTACAAATTTAGCTCCCAATCCTGCAAATTATGTATAGATGGTGGTGTGCACTCACACAGAGCCCTATTGAAGTTAATGTGGCTCTTTGCATGCCCAGCAATCAGCTTCTGTAATGTAAATTGCTGGATCAAAGCCAATTAGACTAACTCCCTATCCTTCCTATTTAATTGTAAGCCACTTATTTTGGGTACCTTCATTTTTTTAATCCGAAACTGCTGGGAAAACTTGGGCCAAATTTTCAGAAGTGCTGAGAATCCATAATTGCAATTGAGGCCAGAAGATCTGAAAATCAGGCATAGCAAATATCTCCACTGGGCTACGAGAAATCAAGGGCTGCTTTTGAAAATGTTGGGTTATTATTTCCCCCATATTTTCCCTCTCTTCTGCTGTTTACATGACCCCAAAGCTTGAACACTTCCCAAACTGCTCTTTGATATAAAGTCTCAGCAGGGTAGCCGAGTAATTTTGTTCAGTGTTGCATCTTTCTTTGCATTTCTAATAGGATGGAATGGTTTTAGCATAATCAATGTTGGAATAGTTCCAGAAATGTTGTTAACTTATACTCCCTCTGCTGGTTACATAGAGGCTTGGAAGGATTCAGTTATCTGAAAATGTCAGTTCATGTTGATTTTCACTGTACATATACAAACCAATGAGAAAATATTTCCATCAATTTTTATCAAAATTTACAGATGGGCAAAGGAAGAAAAATGCTTCTTTTAAACTTACTAGACTTAGGTTTAAGGCTGTTAGTTTTGTTTTGGGCAAATGATGTTGATCACTTATGTTTTAATAGTTATAAAGCTTTAACTTTTTGAATCTCAACATCTACTGTCATGAAATAGTTGTTTGACCATGCCTCCCCTGAATTTCTGACCCTCCATAATTTCCCACAGAAAAATTTATATTGATGAAAATATTTTAAATGTTTTAAAATTACCATTGACATTATTTGTCAAACTATTAAAAATAACCCAATTCTGCCAAGCCTGATTAGGTGCAATGAGAATCAGACATTCAATGAAAGATCTTGCATAGATCTTTGGGAAGGGTTTTATAAAGTACCATTAGAACATGTGCTGCTAAATTTGATGCTTTTATGAATTCTTCCCAAAATGTTTTTATCTCAAGTGTCTATGTATCAGTGACTTAAAATATCAGAGCATCTGATGGAAAATGGTCCAACAGTTTATAGAAATTTATAAAGTTTGATTTTTAGCTTACAATCTACTTGGTAATTGTTGATGAATAAGTAGGATAATAGTAGACTTTGTGGGTCCTGGAAAATATGGACGCTGCCTAATTTCTCAATGAGGATAACTGAAATCTGAGGAACACTCTTCCCCTTTACTATTAGTACCGTCAGGAAGTCAGATTTCAAATATTAATTACTTACATTCTGTTTATAGCTTTCCATCTCCTACACTCCTTTTGTTTCAGAAGTGATAACAAAAATACAAATTGGATTTACCTTTATAAAAAAGTGCCTCAATTTTTAAGTTCAACTGCTGTAAATATTACCTGAAGGCTTTTTTAAAAAAATAACTTCTCAGACTGATTCAGTGCTCAACTTCAGAAGTTATCTCAATCAAGGTAATGTTTTTTTGTCTTCCAAGCAATATTCTACAAAGGTATTGTTTGAAAAAGTAAGCCCTGGTTTGGTGGTTCACTTTCCTAATGTTTTTGTTTAATAGGATCCTTTCTTATAGACACATTGGTGGCTGAGTAACTTTACTAACTAGTGGTACCATTATACTCAGTGAGTCTACTCAAATGGCTAACCACTCATGCTGAAATGCTTATATATAGCTTTGGGGTCCTAGTTGACACAGGACACAAAATGATGTGCACAATTTTGTGTGTGTTTTGTGTGGGGGGGGGGGTTAAACTTAGTGATCTGAGTGTGTGCAGTAATCTGCTGCATGCTTTTATGTTTTCTGGGCAAAAGTTCTTTTCACTGTGTACATTTGCTGATGGAGCCAAACACTTCTATTTACATTTTTCAGTATTTTGCAAGATAGATAGCAAAACCACCATCTAATTTTAGTCAACCCAGAGATTTGTAAAAAGAGGCATGACTGTCGGGTGGGGAAAGACAGGGTAAGGCACATGTAGGAGATATGGGAGAGAAAAAGGACCAAAAAAAAGTCTAAGGTAACCCAAACTCAGTTCCGGTTATTATTGTGTGTGCCTCTATCTGCCTTTTAAATGTAAAGAGCTGAATACTGAAATACTGGGATTTGTTCACGTACAAATCAAGCATGACACTTTAGTGAGGTCCTTCTGTTTACAGGGGGGACAGCATAAAAATATTCTCTTCCAGATCCTTTTTTTCCCTTGTGCCACCCATGCCAACACACAACTTGTCTCTTTCCTCTCATTCTAACTCTGGAGTGTCTCTCCTCTTTCTCTTTCTAAGACTCATTCAGAACTGGAACTAAGAACCTTGAGCTCCAGAGTCTCATGGTGTGTTGGTGTCATGCTGCCAAGCAGGGGAGCTGCACTGTCTGGAGTTCTGCTGTGCCCTCTGATTTGCTTATAGGTTGAAGTGGCAGCTACATAGCAGGTTAAACCTTCCCAGCTATGCCCTTACCCCTCCTAACCCCTGCCTGGCACATCAGCATCAGATTTTCTTCTCCCCAAAATCCAAAATATCTTTCAGAAAATGTGATACTCTGATAAGGAATGCTAGTGCTGCCTGGCAAGTCCTTACGCTCCAACAACGTGATCTGTAATAGTACATGTGCTGCTGAGCTTGTAAAATAATGATGGAGAATGTAGCAATAAGGCAATACTGAAAAGACACAGTCTGGTTAAAAATGAGACCTCTTCTATAGTGCTGAACTTTGTGCACCTTGAAATGATGTGAAAGGAAAACTCGTGTGTGGCTTTTTTTAGTTCAGAATTTTGCAATTTGACACATTCTTATTATTAAAGCGGATAAAAAAATTGGCCTCAGACCTGCAGAACAATGTATCTTTTTGGACTGGTAAAACAAGACTTTTGTAGTTATTTTACAGTTAGTCTTTGCAGCCAGACTAGCTTTACTTGTTAGTGAAATCATTTTTTGGCATCCTATCATGACCTGAATTAAGATCATTTCCTGCATAAATAGAGTAGGAATCAAAAAAGCCCTATTTGGAAGCCAAGGTGATTTTTAAAAAAAACTTTAAACTTTACTGAATTTTGTTCTTGGCACACAGTTATATCCTCTAAAGCTTTTGTATGGTTGCACATTAATGTAGGTTTGGGCTGCCCAGTTATTTAGATTTCCTTTACTCGCCTGAACTGCTGACTTTCTGTCTGCTCCTCCTTGCATAATTACTACTTTTTAATTGCCTAAAAGTACAGAAGCTAGTCCATCAGATCTGTTGTGTTTAGTCTTGCCTAACTCTGTGTGTCTTTGTATTGTTCTACCTTGTAGGGTCCACCCTGAAACGACTATGTCTAGGCAAAGATCACAGTAGTAGTAACTATCCCATTTTTGTTTCTCAGTATTTCCTTCATAGCATGGGATTTTTTAAAATTTATTTTTGACTAAAATCTAGTTGTTTACTTAATAGCAGCTGTTGTACCTTTGCTGACATTAAATTAGGCTGCATATGACTTGTGAGCAGGTATCTCTTTAGTTACAGTGCATGTCCTGTGATGCTTTGGGAAGCATGCATGCTGCAAGATGATTGTGATTTTTTTGTGTGTGTGTGTTATGTGAGAGAGAACAGTACAGTGCTTGTGTCAAATCTTCTGTGTACAGTTTTTATAAAACTGCCATTTTGCTGCTGGCTGACCCTATAGCTTGATGCTACCTCATTCCTGTTGAGATGCATGAAATATTGAACACTATTTGAACAGTTTTATCCTCAAAATACACACCTTCTCCCTGGTCCCTGTCCTGAAAGAATCAGAGCAGGAGTCATAGAAGCCAGAACAGAAGTTTAATGCATGATCATTTAAAGGAGGATGCAGGTATTTTATGTGATTAGAGGAACATTAGTAGGGCTACTCACAATGCACTTTATTGGCTGGAAAATTCATGTTGTTAGAAAAAAAAGACTGTGTTGGTGTTTGTAAATGAATCATTTCACGCCAGTTATCTGAACTTTTTGCTTGGAGAGATGGTCTTTGCTTAAAATTGTATTTTAAATATATCCTGTTAAAATGGTTTCACTGAATTTTTCCCTGGGCATTAAAATATCTGCACCTTTGTCACTTCCCATTCAGTGCTGTTTTTGACATAGTACTAGATTCCCAGGAAGTGGCATTCCATCACGTACATGGGACAGTTATTTCTATAACTGTATTAGAGCGCTTTTGTAGTCTTTGAAGCCTCATCAACTTGACAGTGTCCTCTCTTTACACTAGAAATCTGCATTATACTTGCTAAGCTTATTTTTCTTGTGTAAACTCATAAAGGTTAACAAAAATGCACATCATTTGTGCATTTCTTTTTGATCTAGTAAAATCCTAATTCGCAAAAGCTAATAGCTGCATCAAATTCTAGTCTAGTGTTAGTATGGAGATGGTTTCGTAAGTGGTGTTACATCAACACTACTAAATTAAGTCCTGCACCATTACAGAACTATAAATGTGGGCACATAGACCATTTCTCGAAGCAAAGATGTTCTTTAGAAAGCAATGAGGCCCTGAAAGGACAAAATCAACTTTTGAATGATAGTGTGTGAGAAGCATAAACCAAGCAGCAAAGTGGTGCACTAATGGTGACAGAACTGACCCTTCTTTGTGTGTGACTTTCTAGGATCCTCCACAAACAGTCTTGTAACGTGTCCTGAGCCTCTACCGCCGCCAACTCTGCAGGTCCAGGTGCAAGCTAACAACAGTAACAACAAGAAAGGAACATTCACAGACGATCTTCACAAACTGGTGGATCAGTGGACAAGCAAAACTGTTGGTGCAGCACAGTCAAAACCTTCTTTGAACCAACTGAAGCAGAACCAAAAAAGGCAAGACATGGAGCCAAAGGCTAATTCCACGCAGACACAGAATGAGACATGTGGAGTAAGTGGCGCTCCTTGAAGAACATACATTTTGCTGAATGTCTGACAGCCATGGCAGAACTCATAGGAGGAGGAGGACATAAACTAAAACACACTGCAATGTCCATCTCACTTCTCTAAGTACTAAAATAGCTGACGGTTTTTGGTCTTTTGGCGATAATTTTAGCAACCTATGGGCCAATATATCTTCTTTTTTTTTTTTTTTAAATTAAGAACTGCTAATTAACCGTTGATAAACAGCAACACGCTGACTGGTGATCCATACACTGCTTGGCTTAAACACGGTTTTACTTTTGCTAAAATCCCTCTCCTTTCTAATGTTAATTTTCCTCCTATCGAATGGTGGCTGCACTAGAAGCTTGGTGTCTTATGCTGCAGGGTCTCTTTCTGCCAGATGCTTTGTGAATTCTCTGGCTGGAAGAGAAGATGCCTGTGAACTGGGCGTTTAGCTGGCCCATGCTGGTTGAACTGTACCGTACTAATCACATCTACCTTAGAGGCACTTCTAAAATGTCACTAACGTGACCCTGAATACACTGAGGTGTGGCAGTACTAGCATGTCCTACCCACTGCTCCTCTCTGGTGAGTGAGATGGGTGTGCACCTATGTGCACACATTCACACTTCATGGCTGAGGTGAAGAACTTACACTAAATCCCTGCAGACACAAAAATGAAGGTGAGAGACAAACCATGAAGCCCAGTCACACCTCACATAAGCCCCACAATTCTTCCTGGCCTATAGTGTCCTCTTATGGACTCCATGACTCCTTGCCCAGTAATTTTTGCCTTGTTTTGTTTTTCAGAATTGAGTCTAGAAGAAATAAAATATCAATAAAGATGATGAGGGGTGGGGAACACTGTGAAAATTGTACAGTGGTCTTTTCCGATCAGAATAACTAAACAGTGACAGGGAATCATTGCCTTTTTTAAAATAAACAAAACTCCAAGCAAACAATTACAAAAACCTAGAAAAACCCTATTTTTTAAAAAAAAGACGCACTGCAGTAGTGGCAGGAGATTCATCCCTGTTGAACTGTGCTGTACAAACGTAAGTGCTTAGGAGCTTGCTGATCTCTTTCATGGGACAAAGTGAAAATCTGTGGCACTGCAGCATGCAGGCAGGTTTAATGGGGAAAACAAGCCTACAGTACAGTGAAGCTGTTTAAAACAGAACTTTTTGTAACAAGAAGGGGAAGAGTCATAACTTTTGTCTACATAGTGATGATGCAGTTTTGTTGCCCAGATATGTAATAAATGAGCAATTTGTTTTACAACACTACCCATATCTGTCTGTAGATCCTGTCCATTATTGCAAGCTAACCATACTTTTGGTTGGTCAGTTCTTGGATGGGAGATCCCTAAAGATGCTTCAGGAAGTGTTTTGGGGGATATAGTAGCTGTCATTTCACCAGATCCTAACCCCCACACCACGACAGGGGCTTTGCAATTGGAAAACTGTCCTTGATGAGACGTTGGCATGTTAGAGTTGTTAGTCCTGGTGTCCTGCTCAAGCTCCAGTTTAGGGGATGACAGAGTGTTTTTCCTAACTCTCTTGATAACAGCCATTGAGCAGTTGTCTTTGTTTCCTATCCAAGACTGTTCAGTGATGTGCACAGCTTGAGAGCTCCCATATTCCACCTCTAGTGTAGTAGAGTTCTTGTGGGGGATGAGGAGGAAGATATTCTACATACAGTCTGCAAAATGTGTGGGGATAGGTGTCCTCCTACAGCAAGGTTATTGTCCATGGAAGTTAGAGAATTGACTGAGATTTTAGAAGAAATGAAGGCAAAGTTAAAATCCAGATACCCAGGACCCCATATGTCACTGGACAGATACACAGGAGCTGTGAAGCCCTGCTGTGCTTGACCAGAGAGCTTTCCCCAGTGCAAGCTGTCCTATGTGCCCTAAGACAGGGATCACACCAGAGGCAAGGCCAGGGCAGGTGGTGAGTCCCTACAGCACTCCAGGGATTTTTGAATGTTGCACCTGCAGAGCAGGTCACATGCAGCCCTGGGACAACTGCCATTAACTGGAGCATCCTTTGATCACGCTGATTCTCCTGGAGTCCACACTGGCTTCTAGAGCAGCCTTGAATCCTGCAGGTGCAGAGGTGGTTCACGGCCACCTTACCTGCAATTGTCCTTGATTCTGGCCTGTGGCACCAGAGACACAACACAGAATTCTAGTTGTTGCTGACAAAACCAGGGCAACAGATGTGATTTAAGGGGGAGGTCTCCAATGGTACAAGTAGCATTGGGTGTTAAAATTTTCCCTGAATCTACAAATGTTTGGGTGGATTTGAAATTAAAGGAGACCAGGATGATTTGTGATACTCGAAGAGGAATAGCCAGAAGAAGAGGGATGAAACTGAGCCAAGAGACACTTAATCTGGACAACAGGAGAAAAGGCCCACTGTTGTCACAGAAGCCATTGGGAGCAGGGACTTCTACATATGGCATTGGGGAGTCCAATACAAGGCTGGGCAATTGGAAAGAATGCAGGAAAGAGCCACAAAATTACATGAGGGTTTAAAAGCTATTATCTGTTGCTCTTACCAAATCGTAGATTGAGAGTTGACTCGATTATAGTGACTAAATACTTTCCCAGGGAGAAAATATAAAGTGCTAAGTGGATCTTCAACCTAGTGGAGAAAAGTATAACAAGAACCCAGGGCTGGAACTTCAATCTCAATTAATTCAAATCAGAATGAGCTTCACATTTTGAAGAATGAGTTATTAATCATTGAAACAAATTCCCACGGGAAGGGTGTGGGTTCAACTTCTCTTGACATCCTCAGTTCACGGCTAATTCCTTTCGTGCTTTAGTCAAACATCAGTTATTTGGCTTAATGCAAGGATAAATGGGTAAAATTCCCTGGCCTGTGATGTTCAGGATATCAGACCAGATGAACCAATAGCCCTTCTGCCTTTCTAAGGTATGTAGGGCTCTGTATCAAATCTCTTAAAGGAACCAATAGCCCTTCTGCCTTTCTAAGGTATATAGGGCTCTGTATCAAATCTCTTGAGGGGGAAAGGATCCAAAAAGAGTTGCAATGGCTAAACAGAGTAAGAGAGGCTGTTAGAAGCATCCTTTAAGCATTGGAAGTTAAATCCAACAGAGGAGAATAGAAAGGAATATAAGCTTTGTCAAATGAAGTGTAAAGATACAATTGGACAGACCAAAAAAGAATTTGAAAAGCAACTAGCAAAAACACTCAAAAACTAACTGCAAAATTGTAAGAACCAGCAGGGAGCCTGCCAAACCACCAATGGGGACCCTGGACGATTGAGATACTACAGGAGCACTCAAGGAAGACCCAGCCATTGCGGAAAATCTAGATGAATTCTGTGTCAGTCTTCACTGCAAAGGATATGAGGGATTCCTACACCTGAGCCATTCTTTGTAGGTGAGAAGACTGAGGAATGGTCCTATATTATTAAACAGTAACATGTCATCAGGGCCAGACGGTATCACCCAAGAGTTCTGGAGCAACTCAAATGTGAAATTGCAGAACTACTGAGAGAGGTATGTAACCTATCACTTAAACCAACCTCTTCACCAGATGGCGGGAGGATAGTTGATGTGACGCCCATTTATTTAAAAAGTTTCTAGGCCAGTAAGTGTAACTCCGTTACCAGGCAAATTGATTGTAGCTATAATGAACAGAATTATAAGACGTATAGATGAACACAGTTTGTTAGGGAAGACTCAATATAGCATTTGTTTATTGGGTCAACAAATGCGTGGACAAGGGGGATCTAGTGGATATAGTGGACTTTCAAAAAACCTTTGTCAAAGTTCTACATCAAAGGCTTTTAAGCAAACTAAGCAGTTACAGGATAAGGGGAAAGGTCCTCTCATGGATCCATAACTGGTTAGACAGGAAACAAAGAGTAGGAATAAGTGGTAAGTTTTCAAATTGAAGAGAAGATCTGTGTTGGGTAGGGATGTACTGGAGCCTGCAGTGCAAGGCAGCAATTGGATCCCTGGGAGTGGGGCCAGAAGCTTGCATATAACTGTTACAGTAACTGATGAAATCCTGCCAGAAGCATGGGGTAGCAGCCAGCTCTCCATGAGGAGGACCGGCAGGTGGGAGCTGGCTCCTGTTGACGCTGGCTGACGACTCCACACCCAGAGAACCAAATGCTCCACAGTATAAGCTTTATACTGCTGCGTGTAATCACTAAGATTTTCAGCGGTTACACGGTTACCTAATTAACTGCTTTTTAACATCCCCAGTACTGGACCAGCACTGTTAAACATATTCATAAATAATCTGCAAAAAGACGTACACAGTGAGGTGGCAAAGTTTGCCAATGACATAAAATTACTGAGTATAGTTAAGTCCAAAGCAGACTGTAAAGAGCAACACAGTAATCTCACAAAACTGGGTGACTGGGCAACAAAATAGCAGATGAAATTTATGGCAGATAAATGCAAAGTACGGTAAAACCTGCGCTATCCGGCACTTAACTATCCAGAAAACTTTAGAAACCGGCAAATTTCTTAGGGGCTTGGTGTGGCCATGCGGTGTGGCGCTTTGATCCAGCCGGCCAGAGGCTGGGCGTGGCCACGCGGCATTTTGATAGCTGGGTTCTATTTCAGGCTTCGAGGAGTAGGGAATTGGCAGTCAGACCCCAGCATTCTATTTGTGGCACTGAAAGGAAGTCTTGCCTTTTGGAGGCTTCATAATTAATGTGGCGGTCTGGAGTCCAGGACCCCTGGGTTCCATGGATGGCTCTGGAGGGGATGTGGTCTGGCAGTCAGAGCTGGGGAGGAAAGGAGGCTCTTTTTAGGAGACAGAAAGATGGACCCTCAAATAACCGGAATTTTTAGATAACTGGAATGCCCTAATCCCCGAGCATGCCAGATAACACAGGTTTTACTGTAATACATATTGGAAAACATAATCCCAACTATACATACAAAATGATAGGCTCTACATTAGAAAAAGATTTTGGAGTCATTGTGGATAGTTGTTTGAAAATGTGCTCATGGGC